ATTGCTCATGTTACAGTACCAAAAGCACAGAAATAGATTGTTTTGAACACGAAACTATAAAGACTTTTCTGCACTTGGTGTCAGAAGCCCTGAAAACTAATTATGATTCATCCACAAAGGGGAAAGATGATCCACAGAAAAAGAATCACAAAACATTTTCTAGCCACATTTTGCTGAATATCAAATACTAGATTTTAAAACAAATTCAAGCAAGAGGGTGGCAGAATAAAGTATTCTATGTAACATTTTCCCAGCTCTAATGCAGTTAATACAGCAATTCATAAAGCAAGAACTAAAAAACTCATTATAGCCAGCTTATTTCTCCAATCCTATCTGGGGGAACACAAAAGGCTTAAGAAGTGAACAGCCGCAGTTCAGTGATGAAGAAGATTAAAAAAATCCAATAGTAAAGACACCCCACGCTTCATTCACAATCCTCCACATTTTACTCCTTCAACCTATACTTCTTAGTCTCCTGCTTTAGCTCAGAAGGTAACTTTCCCACCCCCATGCTTATTAACCCGTGGGGCTTGGACTTGACTTGTTACCTGCACTGCCCTTCTACTCCACCTCGAAGGATCTCCTGCAACACAAAGCTCAGAGAGCTCACTGTGTCTCCATTAGACTACATCTAGCCCCAAATGGACTATTTCTTCTCTTTCTTATGCGTTTGGGTGGAGCCCTGAACCACATTCCTCCTCTCCTGCCCACACCCCTAGCATGCTGTTGAGAGAGGAGTAGCATGCGGGAGACTCCTCTGGCCCATCACCAATGAAAGCCAGCCTGGAATATCTGGGCAGCTTGACTGCAAATGCCTCAGCAGTTTCACAGAACAGCACTAGCAGGATTCACTGAATGACAAAATTCTTCTTGACTAACTACTACATATTTTGCAATAAAAATGTCTGTTATTGGGCGCCTGGGTGGCTCAGTTGGTTAATCGACTGCCTTCGGCTCAGGTCATGATCCTGGAGTCCCGGGATCGAGTCCCACATCGGGCTCCCTGCTCAGCAGGGAGTCTGCTTCTCCTTCTGACCCTCTTCCCTCTCGTGCTCTCTATCTCAAATAAATAAATAAAATCTTTAAAAAAAATGTCTGTTATTACCAGAAAAGGCCTCTCTCATCTATAACAATCAAATAGTCTTCGTGTGAGTTTCATATGAAAATACAGGGTTTTAAAAAGTCAGCTTTGTTTTCCTTGAAGACTTTAAGACCTAAAGACACACACAATCATTACAAATATTTGTCAGAGATTTTCCCCCTCCTACAATATAATACTTCACCTGGCAATCAACCAATCTCTAATGACTACAGTTGACACTTGAACAACATGGGTCTGAACCGTACAGAGCCACTTACACACAAGTTTTTTTACAATACTGTACTGTAAATGTCTTTTCCTTATGACTTTCTTAACATTTTCTTTTCACTAGTTTACTTTACTGTAAGAATCTGGTATGTAATACATATAACATACAGAATATGTGTTGACTGTTTATGTTATTGGTAAGGCTTTCAGTCAACAGTAAACTACTAGTATTAAGTTTTGGGGGAGTCAAAAGTTATATGCATATTTTTGGCAGTGTGGGGGTTGGCACCCCTAATCCCCATCATTGTGCAAGGGTCAACTGTATCCTATCTGTGTAAGATGACAGCTCATTCTAAAAACAATGCTTCCGTTTTGCCATGATTTGAACACCAGTAGTTTCCCCCAATAACAGATAAGCATTTTCTCTGTTGTCTATCCTTAGGCCTTAATCTGATTTCCTGGGCATGCTCCTTTCTCAATTAATGATCTTACTCATGAACTTGTCTTAAAACACATACAGGAAGTTACCCTGACACCAGGGGCCCTCACTAAACCAAAAACCCAGTGTCCCAGACAATTGGAATTTTAATATTTAAGAGACATCAAATCTCAAAAGGCAACAAAAGGCTTAATTTTATGCTGGACAATGGCTCATCCATAGGCAACTGCCAACACACAAATAAAACAAGTAAAACAGACGAGTATCAGTGAAAAAGTCAAGCCAGTCCTCAAACTTAGCTTTCATTCATAAACAACTGTTCACATGGCTATAATTTTAAACCACATACATGTCATATTTTCTACCAGCCAAATAGCACCTAAATCATATGAAAGAATTAAATATCTTGATATGTCACAGAGTTGTACAAACAGCACCAGGATCACCACTGATGTCCAACCACAGATACACATGCAACAGGGCAGCTAGAATAGCCAAAGCACCAATAAACACCGTTCTGTAAATGCAGCACTTAAATTATTCCCTCTCATCTCATAAAATATTAATTACAAAAATAAAAATGTTAAGTTTTCAGCCAGCCTGAAAAAGAAAGATTGTATGTGATTCCCTCTCCTTTACTCTTAACCAAGCTGTTTTTGCCTAGCCTCTTTGGTCAAATTCTGAAACTACTTAAAACACCACTGAGTCCCTTTATGTGCAGCCAAGCCACCAAAAAAGCCAGGACCCTTGCTGCCCTGCCCCAGAAAGAAAATGGTTATTAGCATGCTTCTCAGTGAGGTTTAGGGAGGGGGGAAAATCTATCTTCTATCGTGATCTAAATTTTCATGGACTATTTTCCCCTTTGCCCCATTTTCTCTTCAACCCTTTCCTAGTGTTTCAACTTTCTTCCATCTCTTTTTATTTCTTCCTCTCTATACCAAGTTCGTTTTGCTCCTTCCTTTCATGACCTTGAGGGTCAGAACAATGCCTTTTCCTAATAGCAGAGAAGGATGTACAGTAGAGGGACTAGGGAATCTAGTTCACAGCAGCATCAGCTATTGTCATCAATAGCTGACAAAATTCACAGTATCCAAGAAATTATTCAACACCTACTATGGATGAAACATTGTGACAGGAATGATGGGGGAGAAAAGGTATAAAGCAGTTTCTGCCCTCCATGAAGTGACAATCTAGTTGGAGAGATTAGGCAAAAATACATGGAAAGGTAAAACAAGATAAAGCGGTCCAAAGACTGCAGTATGTGCTCTAATATACATGAGTTGTAATGTTCAGGCACCAAGAACAAAGGAGGGTACAACCACTGTGCTGTAGGGGTCTCAAGAAGGCTCACTCAGGAAAAGTAAAAGCTAGACTCTGAAGGAGCCCTGAGGGTATAAAAGGTGAGGAAGGAAAGGGAGGGCTTTCTAAAATGGGGAGAAGACTTTCCAGAGGGCTGACCCTATATCAGCTTAACAGCAAGGAAAAATGTAAAATGGGTAAATTTTATGTTACATGTATTTTACCACAATTAAAAAAAAATGAGGATAGGTGTCTGGGCCCCTCAGCTGTCTCCAGCAGGGTAGGAAAGTCAGCACAGAGGGAAGAGAATTCTTATGCACAGGTGAGAACATCTGATGAACTTAGTCAACTGATACTGTCCAGCACGTAGCCACACCTGACGATACCTTTTCTAATTTTAAATACCAACACTGTGTATAACCTGACAAAATGGTTAAAGCAAAAGAAACTAGCTGACCAGATAGAGAGGTGTGTGCATTGTTAGGAAGAGATCTGATGCCTTTTCCACCAGGGAAATGTCCTCTAGAAAGAGGTCCCAGCAGCTTTGCTAAAGCCAAGGGGGAGAAATCCCAAATCCAGAGATTCCAATGGGTCTCCGTTCTTCAAAGTTTTCTGAGCACAAGAGAGGAAGTCTGCAACCCTCCCAGGAGCGAGTCACAAAAAAAGGTGTACATTTTAATTTCCCACTAGTTGCTAATAAAGCCCTGAATATCCAAATCCAAGGTATTAATGAGCCTTCACTGACCTCCTGGGGAAAAAAAATCCCTAAACTAGTAGGTAAAGCAGCTTTTATAGAAATCACACACGGCATACCTTAGTTACTTCCATTTAAATACCAACAAGAAAATTACTTGGCTGAAATCATGCCAATGTGCCCTTGGCCTTCAATTTAAGCAGATTAACAAGATCCATATAACAGTTCCTGAAGGAAGGGCAATGAAATAAGAGAAATGTCCCCACTTTCACATAATGGCCAATATTAGAGGAAGAAACATGCTAGGAAATTGTCTAAATGACCATAAAAATGTTCATAGTACATAGTGTTTTATGTGAGTGGACTATGTACTAGTTTAATATTACATAGCACAAAACGTACATGGTAAGGACAATAAAACCCGCCTGAGGTGCAAGATTGAAAAGCATACGAATTTTGTGTTAAAAATAAGATTCTTGCTGGAATAACTCACTCATTAAAGCTTCCATATAACACCCCCAAAATCAAGGAAATACAAGCTAAAATCTCTTTCAACATTAGACATTAGTATATGAAACAATGGAGTTCAATTAGCCCAGAGGCACTGATTATTCAGGGCACATCCTGGGTACCTCTCAAGACAGCTGCCAGGGTGCCTGGGTGGCTCAGTTGGTTAAGCGACTGCCTTCGGCTCAGGTTATGATCCTGGAGTCCCAGGATCGAGTCCCGCATCAGGCTCCCTGCTCGGCAGGGAGTCTGCTCTCCCTCTGACCTCCCCCCCTCTCATGTACTCTCTCTCATTCTCTCTCAAATAAATAAATAAAATCTAAAAAAAAAAAAAAAATTTGTTTAAACTTAAAAAAAAAAAAAAAGACATTTGCCAGAAATTCACACATGGTTGTAAGGAGGATGGTGATTCTGAGGCTAATCTTATCTTACCTCATAAAGTTTTATAAGACTCACTTTCTGAAACCAGTGTTAATCTACGTAATTCTGCTTCTATGTATTTCCAGTCTATCCTGAATCCACCCCATCCTTCCTTTCTAATTCTTAGTAACTTGGGAATTTGAGGGCCTTAAATATGCATATTTTAGGAAACAAAGCAAAGCATCAAATGTCCAACTAATCCAACGCATACCTAAATTTGGTTTCACTACAGCGCCATTGATTCAATCAGTCTGGAGGAGACGTCAGTGAGCAACAGCTTGTATTTAGCTTTAATTGGGGGAATTACACTTGGAATTGACAACACTGCTCACCTTCAGGACAGAGGCTAAGCTGGTCATGTGCTCATTGAGGGCACCCTCCGACTCCTTGTAGGTCAAACAGGTGAACTGGTACTCCTCAGGATCAAAGGCGTCGGCCCCCTGCTGCTCCACATCGCTGGCTACTCCCACGTAATAGTCCTCTATGTCCCCAGGGTCCTCATCCTCTTCTTCCTCCTCACAATTTGGGTCATAGTCCTCTTCATTGCTGTCAGACCCCTGGCTATTCATGTCCACAGACATCTTAGCATCCAGCCAAGTTGCAGATCAGGAAAGCAGTTTTTTTCCCTCCCCCCAAACTTTACCACTTTCTCAAATGCATTAGTGTTTTTTGTCTTCTAAGGAAGGAAAAGAAAAAAATAAGTGTTACTTACTTTCACTATGAGAAGTTATAACAGTAACCACTGAAGAATCAAAATGGTATAGCCTGGTCCTATCCCTATTATGGCCTATTCCAACTCTGGACTCATACTGGAAACACCATCATGTCCCTGACCAGGCTTATCTAAGGAAAACTCATTCCTTGAGGAGCAGAAGCAGCTAATAATGGTAACTGCACATGAAGGGCCTGGCATGAAAGAGTCAGGAAGGCCATCTACTCCATGTCAAAGGGTCAAATTCCCAAGGATTTATGTCAAAGGGTCAAATTCCCAAGTCCTTAAGAAAGAGGCACATCCCCACAGTTGGAGGCCCACAAGGGAAGCAACCTAAAGGTTGAGCTACCAAAATTTAAAATCTCTTTGCTAATTATGCCCCACTGAGTAGTGACACAGACGGTACACAAATGACACAATTCCTTTCTACTATATGTCTAGGAAAGAGCACCACTGTTTCACAGACATCACTCTCAGATGTCTGGAAAACAGGTGCATGGTTAGTAAAGAAAACAAAAGACAAAGCTCTTCAACAACCTCCTCTAGTCTGCAAAGTTAACTGATTTTTCAGTTTTAAAGGATTCTACTGATTCTTTAAAAGGGGTACTTCAACACAAACAAATTGATCCAATAGCAAAGAAAAACGACAGATATACAGAGAAGATTTTGGCAAATGCCCATTAACTTTTCTCCACAAGTACTGTTTCAAGCAATCATCTGCAAGAAACAGTATTAAATAGTGATTTTTTTTTTAAGATTTTATTTACTTGTCAGAGAGAGAGAGAGCACAAGCAAGGGGAGCAACAACAAAGGGAGAAGCAGGCTCCCCGCTGAGCAAGGAGCCCAATCTGGGATCATGACCTGAGCTGAAGACAGACGCTTAACCCACTGAGCCACCCAGGCGTCCCTTAAATAGTGATTTAAATCTAAAAACTAATAGGACTTTAAAATGCAAGAGCATCTGCATTGGATGGTATGTAAATAACTTACATAACCAAATCTGGATTAAACACAAAAGTATATACAAAGTCTATTTGAAATAGTTAAGCTCTCAAGGGGTGGCTCAGTCGGTTAAGTGTCCAACTCTTGATTTGGGTTCAGGTCATGATCTCAGGGTCGTGAGATCAGTGGGGAGTATGCCTGAGATTCTCTCCCTATGCCCCTCCCCCTGCTCTCACTGTGCGAGCTTTCTCTCTCTAAAAAGAATAAAATAATCTAGGGGTGCCTGCGTGGCTCAGTCGGTTAAACGTCTGCCTTCGGTTCAGGTCATGATCCCAGGGTCCTGGGATCGAGTACCACATTGGGCTCCTTGCTCAGCAGGGAGCCTGCTTCTCCCTCGCCCTCTGCCTGCCGCTCTCCCTGCTTGTGCTTGCTCTCTGTCAAATAAATAAATAAAATCTTTAAAAATAAAATGAATAAATAAAATAGTCTAAAAAAAGGAAAGAATCTCTCAAAAAATCAACCATAATTAAGACAAGAAATAAAAATTAAAACACATTAGGGGCACCTGGGTGGCTCAGTCGTTAAGTGTCTGCCTTCGGCTCAGGTCATGATCCCAGGGTCCTGGGATTGAGCCCCACATCGGGCTCCCTGCTCCGCAGGAAGCCTGCTTCTCCCTCTCCCACTCCCCCTGCTTGTGTTCCTGCTCTAGCTATCTGTCAAGTAAATAAAATCTTTAAAAATTATTTTAAAACACATTAAAATGAACATGTTAAAGAAAAAAACGTGTAGTGAATACGTAACCAGTCTAAATGACTACAGAGCCACCTTTTAATATAAAAATATCAGTGAATCTAAGTTTGACATGCTAACCATAAATGCCCAGTTTTTTTAAAATCACATTAATGAGAGCAGTAATATAATATTTGCAGTTTGACTTTTAACAAATTGTTTTATATGGTAGAACCACCAAATTACAAACGAACGACGGTACTTTTCCCTTAGGAGAAAAAAATTAATCTTTAAATTAAAAATACCTGAATTCTTGAAGATCTTTGAAAATGTCACCCCAAATATTCTGTCATATAATTTCCATCTGAAATGAAAAGAGAAATTCTATTTATATTTTTGAAGATGGTACCCTGGTTTTGCAAATTTATTTTTTAACAAGCAAAAACATTTAAAAGGATAAGCAGCAAGGGACCAGAGTAACTGAAATTATTTTCTTGAAAGTCCCACAGAAACACGTATGTCATATTGAAAAGAGTTACATGGCCTTCTAAAAAAGAAAGTATTCAAAGTAAACAGCCAGTAATTATTTAACCTAGAATACTGGTAATGTAAATAGATACCTAATTCCCTCCCTTAGTTTGAAAACCCACCACCTTACTCCTATGGTTCAGATTCCCTAAATTACTACCACAATTTCAATCCTAAATGTTACAAAGAAGTGGAAAAAGTAAATTGCAACTGACTTAAAATGAGATTTTTAGTATAAAGTCACTTCCATGGTGATAATGTAACACAAAATACTGCCAATATTTCAGATCTCACTTTACTCATGAAAAAGTTATTTTGAAATAAAAAGTGTCCCCAATAGGATGCCCACTAGGCAATATTAATACCCGTGTGCCGCCTCTCTTCTGACATGCTCAAGGGCCATCTGACCTGCTCAGAGATACAGATCTCACTATCCAAGACTAAATAAGTAAGCAAGCCTACTTGCTTACTCAATTAGAAATCTTATGTCTATTTCTTTATCCTTTAGGATTTCTTGGAAAACTTGGGATGCCTGGGTGGCTCAGTCGGTAAAGCCTCTGACTTCGGCTCAGGTCATGATCCCAGGGTCCTGAGATGGAGTCCCGCATTGGACCCTTTGCTCAGCAGGGAGCCTGCTTCTCCCTCTGCCTGCTGCTCCCCGTTTGTGCTCTTTCCCTCTGTACCTGTCTTTGACAAGTAAATAAATAAACTCTTAAAAAGAAAAAAAAAAGGATTTCTCGGAAAACTAAAACTTATAACTTCCAAAAAAATACTTCAAACATAGGCAAATATAAACCAAATGAAAATCAAAGTCCAAACAATGATTATGGAAGATCTAAAATAGTAGAGAACTGATTTTTTAAAATCTTTTTTCTTTTACCTGTATATTATTCAAGGTATTGCTTATTGGGCAAACAAAATTCATAAATATTGCTCCCATCTACAAAATTTCACTACCAATATTAGCTCTTATTTAGTGAGAGCCAATTGCAGGTTTGACTCATTCTCATTAAATCTTCACAACTCTACAAAGTGGCTCTCATCCCCTTCTTACAAATGAGGAAACCACAGTTCAAAAAGGTTAAGTGACTTGCCAGGATCACACTGCTGGTAACCGGTATTACCCAGAGTCAGTACTTCCACCAGATCCATTGGCTACGGAGATTTACAACTCCCCACCACCATCCCAGAGAACCTAATACTATCCACAAAGCTACCTTCAGAATCACAACAAACAGAAGACCATGCTTTCCACTTTCTCTGGATTTTTCCCCAGAATTTGAACTTAGAGGTTGCCCATAGGCTTCTCACCAACTAAGTACTCAAGAAGCAGGGGAAAACTTCATATTTCCCTCCAAAAAAAGAGAAAGTGATTTCATACTTAGTGGGAGTTCTAGGTCTAGATTTAAAGATTTATTTTATTTATTTATTTATTTGAGAGAGAGAGTGTACATGAGAGGGGGGAGGGTCAGAGGGACAAGCAGACTCCCCGCTAAGCAGGGAGCTCGATGCGGGACTCGATCCCAGGACTCCAGGATCATAACCTGAGCCGAAGGCAGTCGCTTAACTAACAACTGAGCCACCCAGGCGCCCCTAGGTCCAGGTTTAAATAAAAACTTAATTTTTAATCTTTTCAAAGTTAAATATACCTAATTCTACTCAAAAGAGTGCTAACATTGTTCAAAGGGGCCAGAATGTTATTGCCTTATTAAAAGAACTGATGACAACGCTTTGATTTCCTTTGGATGTTAAATATAATCCCTCCACCCCAAACAGAAAAGAAGTAATAGAAATTACACCCCCCCACCCCCAGGCAAAGTCACGTATTCAGGAGACGCTGACACCCTCCCTGGGCTAAAGGATCCAAACTGAAGACTTCTCTCTGTTTAAAAGTTGACGAAAACACTTTTTGGCAACTCTGAAGATGTTTACTCCAGACATAATATTTGGCTCTGAATGGTCATTTACTAACGCTACATCTCCGAAAAAAACTACTTAGCACTTCTAAAATATGAACCAGTAACTTAGTTTCAAAACCCTAGACTATACTACCCTGTCTAATACGGTAGCCACTAGCCCCATGTAGTTATTAAAATTTGACTTAAAAATTAAATAAAAACCTAAAATTTGGTTTTTCAGTCTCACTAGCCATAAGTCAAATGTTCAATAGCCACGTGTAGCTAGTGGCTACCCTACTTAGGAACAAAAGTATAAAATATGTCCGTTGTGGCAGAAAGTTCTACGGGACAGAGCAACAATCAGTACTGAGGTGAAGTCATCCGACAACACGGCTGTCTCTCCCGCCGCAAGCACAGCACCGTCCGGCGAGACGGCGGCGCAGCTCCTGGGCCGCACGTTTCTACCGAGGCGCAGGGACAGCCGCGAGGACACGGAGCCCACGCGCAGGTGGACCCTTCGCAGGCGAGCGTTAACTAACTGCGCGGGTGGCACTGCGAGGGCTCCGAATGATGACTAGAGTGAGAAGCCCCGGAGGCGGCGCGTATCCCCGGCGCGCCCGGTGGGGAAGGCCCAGATGCGCCGGCGCCAGTCGGTCAGAGGCGCTGGCCTCCGACCTCTCCGGGAGCTGGGAAGACGGCGGGAGGAGGAAAAACGGAGAGACGCCAAGAGCCAGCCCGCCCCGGTGGTAGCCTTCAGCCGCCCCTCCGCGGGCGGCGCTGGACGCTGAGACGGGGAACCGGCGGCCGGGGGCACCGGGGCCTCGCGGGCGGCGACGAAGGCGGAGGCGCGCGGAGAGCCCACCCCCCTCCCCGGCCCGCTGGGGTAAACAAGGCCGCGACCTGCGCCGCACACTTACCGGGAGCCGCAGCCCGCGGCCGCTGAGCCCGGGCGGGCCAGACCGGGACCGGCCGGGCCAGAGGTTTCAGACACAGGCGCAGACGCGGCGGGCGGAGGTGACGGGCCGACGCCGGTCAAGGCCCGCGCTCCTTCCTCCCGCGGAGCGGTCTCCGCTGCTCCGGAAGTGCTCAGTGAAGTTGCGTCACTTCCGGCCCGGGGTCGATCGGCGGTCGCCGAGGTCGCGACTGGTGCTGGGTAATACCGTCCCTTGGCCAACGGTTCACTGCAGCCGAGCACTCCGATCCCGAGTGTGACCCGGCATGGCCCGCGCCCATGGCTGCAGGAGGCAGCGGAGGAGAGGAGTCGGCTTATTGGAAAGTGGTCAAGGCGTCTCTTCCGGCTTTCTCCTACCGGCGCCGACCGCCGGTATAATTTTAACCAGCGTTTTTCTGATGGACTGTTCGCTTCACTGTTTGTATTCGAGTATAGTGCACATAGAAGACATACTGACGCCTATGGAGTGGTAAAGGACTGTTGTTTCCCGGCCGCTATCTGGTGGAAGAAGAATTGGGGTTTCAGGTCTCCGCCGGGCCGGGAATTTCTGCTTACACTCTCAGGCCGCCGCTTGGTGGCCCCCGAGCCGCAGATACCACGCCGGGCTTTCCCTTTACTCTCCGCTGCGTGGCCCACCCAGTTCTTCACCTTCCCGTTCATCGTACAAGATTGAATCGTGATTTTGTTTATTAAATTCCACATTTGCCTTGTTACACGGTTTCTTCAAACGGTTTAGGAAGTATGTGCCCCCATGACTGCCAGTTAACTTCTAGGACCTGTTGCCAACCATGGTGGATAGAAAGCCACTGAGGCTCACTCGAGTTGCTGCTGCACAAGTGAAAATGCGGGTGTGAAGCCGGTGATGTTAGGGAGCACCCTGGCTGTGCAAGTCCTCCCATAACCCAAATTATTTCCATCCATAGTACATAGTCTATGTACTGATATGCAAGATAACTGTGTGTAACGAGCTCTCTTACTTAGTTCTTGCTTCTTGCGTGTATTCGTGTATTTCTTATACATGGTTTTCAGCTTTCAGTTTAACTAAGAGCATGTACCTAAATAAGGCGCAAATACTAGAAAGCATCCCTCCCTCCCCCCAAAAGGAAACAAATACTAGGAAGCCCAAATTAATTTGGAGTGAAAATTAATAGCAATGACTAACAATTGTAGGATTATGAATTCTATATATGTTGGCAACATAAAAGTCTATTAAACTTCAATGTGCTTATTTTATTCCTTTATGATACTAGCAAAGGACCTAAAGTGTATTTTCTGCAAATGAAATCTGAATTAGAAGCTCTCGTTTTGGGTTACTGGTAATAAATGCTCTCCAGCAAATAATAGGAAACTTTCTGTAGCATTATTGCATTTGCAAAATAGAGAATTTGTTCATAAGCACATGGGTGTACATACAATATATTGGAAAACTACGTATTATCCTTATTTGCACAGCTGTCTTTCTCCTGCTAAAGGTGAGTTTTTGCTTGTTTGTTTTAGAGAGGGGGAGCAAGAAAGAGAGGGGCAGAGGGAGAGGGTGAGAGAAAATCTTAAGCAGGCTCCATGCTGGGCGGAAGCTCAGTCTCAGCCCTGAGATCATGATCTGAGCCAAAATCAAGAGTTGGACGCTTAACCGACTGAGCCACCTGGGCACCCCAAAAGGTGAGTTTCTTAAGGGCACAGATCCAACCTTGTTTTAAATATTACTCTATTACATAAACATTTATTGGGTTGATGATAATATTTTTAACCAGTGGCAATTTCTCTCCAGGAAATAGAGATTTAAGAATTAAGCCAAAATATTTAAGGATATGCATAAAAATATGTGCACATATATGTGCTTTGGAATGGTGATTCCAAATAGGAATTCCAATTAGGACACATTTGCCGCATCCAAAATGTCCTAAAGTAAGAGTTTGTTAAATTATGGTAAAATATACAATGAAGAAAACCATTAGCAATGATGCTCTACTAAGGTATCTATTAATAAGGAAAGGTATTTTTGATATACTCTTAAGTGATAATAATAAGAAATGAAATGTGTATGATAGTACTTTTTCAAAATATATATGCATGTGAAATATATAAAGTCTCATGATTTCTGTGGTTCAGAAATCCAGACAGGCCATGGTGGGAATGGTTTGTCTCAGCTCCTCAATGTCTGTGGCCTCAGCTGGAAGACTCGAAAGCTAGGAGCTGGAATCATGGGGAAGAATTATTTACTCACATATCCAGTGGGTTTTGGTGGCTGTCAGCTGGGGGTCTAGCTGGAGCTGTTAGCCAGAACGCATACACACATGACCTCTCCACGTTGGTCTGGTTTCCAGGGACAAGTGTCTTGAGAGATAGAGCTAGGTGGAAGCTCTATCTCTTTTTATAACTTAGCCTCTGAAGTTAGGCAGCATTACTTCTACCACATTTTATTGGTCCAAGCAGTTACATATGTCCTCTCAGGTTCAAAGGAAGGAAATGAAGACCCACCCTCAATAGAGGAAAACTAACATTGTATCACATCGTAAGAAAAGCATGTGGAATGGGATATATGGTGGTATGGTCATCTTTGGAAAGTATAATCTGTCACATCACATGTTACATATATGTATCTTATACATCTAGCTTTCATCTTCACCTATATTGATTTTATTTTTTTTAAGATTTTCTTTATTTAACAAAGAGACACAGCGAGAGAGGGAACACAAGCAGGGGGAGTGGGAGAGGAGTCTTCCCACTGAGCAGGGAGCCCGATGCGGGGCTCGATCCCAGGACCCTGGGATCATGACCTGAGCTGAAGGCAGACGCTTAACAACTGAGCCACGCAGGCGCCCCCTTTTATTGATTTTAATTATGCAACTAATATATTGATATATTAAAGTTGTAAAAAATTAACATAAAAGTATTGATAGCAGCGTGTGAATATTCCCATTAACTCACTTGGACTCTCTCTACCCTATCTGGGGTCGTTACCATTGTCTGATCCTTTTTGTGCATTCACATGTATATCTATTCATAGCTATACACACACATTTACACAAATGTTTTTTTTTCTGTTAGTAACAGGCTATTATAAGATGCTGCTTTTTTCACTTAGTAGAAAGAGCTATTGGGCGCCTGGGTGGCTCAGTTGGTTAAGCGACTGCCTTCAGCTCAGGTCATGATCCTGGAGTCCCGGGATCGAGTCCCGCATCGGGCTCCCTGCTCGGCAGGGAGTCTGCTTCTCCCTCGGACCCTCCCCCCATCTCATGTGCTTTCTCTCTCATTCTCTCTGTCTCTCAAATAAATAAATAAAATCTTAAAAAAAAAAAAAAGAGCTATTATTATTCTCCATTCCACGAATGAGCAAACTAAGGCAAAGAAAATTCGGGTAATTCCTCAAAATTAAAAAGCTAGAAAGTGGGCAAGCTGAGATTCTTACCCTGCTGGTGTGGCTCCAGAGCCTACCCTCTCTCCACAGTGCTGGACCCCTGCTCAGTATTTCCTAATATGAACGTATTATCTCTTTCACCATGCTCCCTTTGCAGGTCATCTGTTTGCAGTTTTTCACAATTACAAATAATGTCACAAACACCCTTGGATGTACTTCTTTTTGCACAGATGTGAACATGTTTGGGGTTCTAGTTCTAGAAATGGAATTGATGAGTCAACTGCCCTGCTCTTACTGCCAAATCACCTTTTAAAAATGCCTTTGATTCTTTGAGCCCGGCTGAAGGACAGGCAACATGTTGTTAGATATAATGGTGGGGGAAGGAGATCACAGCCCCTGCAGTTTAGGAACTTTGGTCTAGTAAGAGATGAAAAAATTAGAGGAATTGTGAAATAAGTATGAAATTGCTGTGAGGAGTACCACACAGGAGAGTCACTACATCTCCATTCTCTGCTCTATCTACGCTCATTCCCTAGGAATCTCATCCAGTCTCTGCCTAAGGACCTCCAACACACTGATGACTTACAGGTCTTTCTAGCCCTACCCGATTCCCTAAACATATTCAGTACACTCAGTTGTCCGTTTGGAGGTCATATTGGCACTCAAATTTGAAGTCCCAAACAAAACTCAATTTTATCCCCAAACTGGTCATTCCCCCAGTGTGTCCCAGCTCAGTAATGCCTCTATCTCTTACTGTTTACTCAGGCCAAAAATTCACAAGTCTCTCATGACTCTTCTTTCCCTGTCCAATTCCACATTCAATCCCTAAGTGCTATACCTCCATGATATGTCCTGATTTGGCAGTTCTCCCCATCTGCTGCTCTAGTGCAAACCACCAACATGTGTCCCTGGGTGTGAGCAATTAACTAGTCTCCACGCTCCTACCCATGATATAGAACCACTATATCGGTTCTATACATTATCTAGAAAGATCTTTTTAAAGCATACAATATGTCAATCCCCTGTTCAAAACCCTTCAAAGCTTTCAATCACAGGCTTCACCCTTATAGGCCTATAGTGGTAGGGTCTGGGTCCAGATGCCCAGGGTTAGAATCCCAGTTTGGTGACTTCCTAGCTGTGTGAACTTGGGTAAGGAACTTCACCTCTCCTTGACTTAGTTTTCTAATTTGTGAAATGGGGATAATAGTAGCACCTTCCACTGAATGAAAAAGCAGAATGATATTTACAATAGCTTTTTATTAATGAAAAAAGGGTGTGTGTGTGTGTGTGTGTCTGTAGATATATATGTAGTTGTAGGGGTGCCTGGTGGCTCAGTTGGTTAAGTGTCTGCCTTCAGCTCAGGTCATGATTCTGGGGTCCTGGGATCAAGTCCCGAGTCGGGTTCCCTGCTCAGCAGGGAGCCTGCTTCTCCCTTTGCCTGCCACTTCCCCCCCCCCGCTTGTGCTCTCTCTCTCTCTCTGACAAAATCTATTTAAAAAATATATATATATATGTAGATGTATAGAAAAGGTCCTAGAAGGACATGTGTGAAAGGACATGTACTGACTGAGCCACTCAGGCACCCTGACATGTTTCACTTTTAAAAATCCACTGGGGACGGGGCACCTGGGTGGCTCAGTCGGTTAAGCTTCAGTGTTTTCAGCTCAGGTCATGATCTCAGGGTCCTGGGATTGAGCCCCATGTCGGGCTCTCTGCTCAGCGGAGAGCCTGCTTCTCCCTCTCCCTCTGCTGCTCCCCCTGCTTGTGCTCTCTCTCTTTGTCAAATAAATAAATAAAATCTTAAAAAAAAAATCCACTGGGGAGATGGGGCATCTGGGTTAAGCATCAGTTGGTTAAGCATCTGACTCTTGATTTTAGCTCAGGTTATCATCTCAGGGTTATGAGATCGAGCCCCACGTCAGGCTCTGTACTCATTGTAGAGTCTGCTTGAGAGTCTCTTCCCTCTCCCTCTGCCCTTCTCCCTGTTCTCTCTCTCAATAAATAAATAAAATCTTTTTAAAAAATAAAATAAAAATTTAAAAAATCCACTGGAGAGCACTGAATTTCTAAGATTGACTTAAAGGTAGTACTCATATCCTCAATATTGACTCTTTGCATCCAAGGAATATGTCTTTACACTGTTTTTCTTTTATGCCTTTGAATTTTTATATTTTATTCACATGAATCTTTGATTTAGTCCTGGATATGTTATGGGTTTTCTTACTATTCTGAATAGGATTCTTTTTTTAAAAAAGATTTTATTTATTTATTTGACAGAGAAAGACACAGTGAGAGAGGGAACACGAGCAGTGGGAGTGGGAGAGGGAGAAGCAGGCTTCCCGCTGAGCAGGGAGCCCGATGTGGGACTTGATCCCAGGACCCTGGGATCATGACCTGAGCCGAAGGCAGACACTAAACGACCGAGCCACCCAGGCGCCCTGAATAAGATTCTTTTTTGCATGTTTTCTAATTGGTTATTTTTTAAAAGAGTTTTATTTATTTATCTATCTATCTATCTATTTATTTATTTATTGGGGTGGGGGAGAGCATGAGTAGGGGGAGGGGCAGAGGGAGAAGCAAACTCCCCGCTGAGCAGGGAGCCTGATGTGGAGCTTGATCCCAGGACTCTGGGATCATGACCTGAGCCAAAGGCAGACACTTAACTGACTGAGCCACTCAGGCGCCCCTAATTGGTTATTGTTAATGTATCGAAAAGCTATTGTTTCTGGATATTGTTCTTGTGTCTGTCTCTTTACTACATTTCTTCTTAGTTTCAATGGGTCTTCAACTGATTCTCTTGAATTTTAAAAGTAAGCATTTAGATCACTTGAAAATTGTGATATTTTGGATTCTTAATTTTTAATATTTAAATTTTTCATTTATTCTTCTTTCCTTGTCTTATTTCCCTCCCTCTCTTTTTCCCTCCTTTTTTTCTTTC